GATATTCAAAAAACAGCGACGGACATTCTATTTTGAAACGGATAATAGTTTTAATGTCATTAGATGTAATACGATTCGAAAAGATTCATTAGTAACGCTCTTACCTAAAACGCGTTATCATTCATTGTTTCCTTCAAAGATATATCAATTGTTGCCTTATATTCAAATATTTATTGTTGACACTTTATGTCATTATTAAGCCATCGGGATGTGGGTGTGGTATGAAGAGAAGAACGGTCCTTTACCACACACAAGCTTATACCTACATTTTAGAATTTCTTCATGCGACCGTTGGATCGTTATAAAGACACTGTTGTTGTTGTTGTACCAAACGTTTTCATTATCAGATACTCTTATTTTTAAACCTTTTTTCAGAGCTTTTTTGTGATATGTTACAAACATTTTTGGTTATTCTTGTTTTTTATAATTGTAATGATTTATCTAATGTGTTCTCAGAATTTTTCCTGTCCGTTGATTCTTTTTCTTGTTCTTTTTATTAATGCACGAATAGTATAAAGAAAAGTTATTTGTAACATGGACAGATTTCTCTGCTCAATTTCGAAAATAATGGATTTCAAAACATTTTAATCCATCTCAGTGTATGTCTAAACTATCTTCATTTTTTGACAATACGTTCGATACAATAGAATGTTTTCTCTGTCCAAGTATATGCAAAGAAATCATATATAGGTCATGTAGTTATATTATTATATATATACATATAGATACCAAATGTCAATAAGGCTGAATTACTTTTCCGTAGTTGATCGGTATTTAGATATAGATCCTGATATTTATATATTTGCTGCACGTCATGCTCGTTTTAATTTTTATTTACTAATGATGCTCATATTCGAAACATAATTTCTTTTGTGTTTTTTTTCTTCGAAAACACGATATCACGTTCAAGTCTGATGAAGGAGTCTTTAGATCTTTTTCTTAAACTTCGATAGAAATTGCAACTTATTTGTGAGATAAACGTATAATACCAGCAAACAGCGACCTCTCATTAATATTTTATCTAAGTCAGAGGAGGTACGCAGGTTTGTTCAATGGCTCTTTCCTGTATGTAACTGAAACTGTATGTAAATTTCTAAATTTTTCTCTTTGACATATATATATAATTTCTTCTTGTTTTGTTGAGTTCAAATGTTTTATTTTTTAATTTCCTTTGTTTTTGTTTTAAAGTAATCTTTTACTATTTCTCTCTAAAGAACAGAAAAATGTTTCTTCCATTAGTCTGTTCTTCGAAATAAAATCACATATTCAAGTTAGTCGAATATAACAAATTATACGATTGCATTTCTCTTATTTATAAATTTAGATAATATATTATGTTACGATACAGTTTATCGACAATATATCGTCCGTACCTTATCAATACATTTGTTCGACGAACATTATTCGGTCGAAGCAGTTCAACCAAAAAAATAAAAGATGATTTCGATGGAGAAATCATTGAACAACCAGACTCTATACCACAATCTGCTGTTCCAACAGTTTCTGAATTAGCTTCTTATAAAACTAAAAAATATGTTACACGTTTAGTCACTTGTCGTCCATATACGCCACCATCAAATATTGAACAACTTATTTATCGAATAGCTAATGAAACTATTGATAATTTTAAACAAGAAACTCGTTCGGAAGGTAATTGGAAATCAATATATCTAAGTAATCCTTTAAATAAATATAATTTATTAACACGTTGTATGAAAGAATGTTCTCATACAGTATCCAATATGACTTTAAATGATATAAAAACATTAGAAGATGTTTATCAATATTTTTCAACGCCTGTTAAAGATACAAATGTACTTGAAGATTTACAACAATCATCTGAATTACCAAAAAATGTTCATATACAATTAGATGCTGTTCGTTTTACACCTGAAACAAGTTCATTTTTCAATGAACTTGATGCGTTTCCAAAACGATCGACAAAAGTTATTGATTTATGGTACAAGAAAAAATATGCATCATATCCGAAAAACGAAGAAGATCCATTTAAAGATAATATTTACTGATAGTGTTGTTTATTTTTTTTTTTTGTATTCAAAAACTTGTTGGTCTTTTACATTATTAATAAAAAGCACAAATGTGCAACGTTGTTATTCAACGATATTTGATTAATAAAATGATGGTAATGTTGACGATGATTGAAATGATAACCACAATAAAGTACTATTTATTATCGTACAAGAAAAAACGATAGAAACTCTTTTTCTATGGAAATTGGTTTATGAATTGAATTATCTCATATTTTTATTCATGGCAAAGTAACAATTATAGTAGGAGTTTTTCCCTTAGTGACACTGATATTGGTTTACG